CCAAGCCCATGATAAGGTCATACAATTTACACACTCAGTTGATACAGACACAGCAGAAGATAAAACAGATCTAAGACTGTAGTCATCAGGAAGTCGTCTTTCAAGTGGATTACTTGGTTCGTTTGAAGCTCCAGCCTTATAGGCAAATTTCTCTTGGTAATAAGCAGATCCAGAAGCTGTCTCCGCAATTTTATGGCCCCTTCAAGGTGCTCCAAAAGGATGGAAGAAGACGCTTATAAATTTGAACTACAACCAACAACCAGGTTGCATCCTGCTTTCCATGTTTTCCTCTCCTAAAGCTTTTCATGGACAGCAACGTGTGTCATCTACTCTTCCTATTGTTCACCAAGGAGTTCCTCATCCTACAACCCAAGCTCAGTTGACTTCAAGAACTCATAAAGGACAACATGAGTTCCTCATTCATTGGGAGGGTCTTTCTCCCGCAGATACTTCTTGGCAACTTGCCAATCACATGATGCTTCGGTATCCTCACTTTGGGCTTGAGGACAAGCACCAATTCGAGGGGAGTGATGTTAGAAACAAATTAGTTCCTTTCCGCAAGTTTACCAAAGAAGGAACTAAAAGAAATCTATGTAACTGCAGTATGTGTGTACTGGTGTTTATGGTGTGTAATAATTATGTAAATGTGTAATAATAAGTGTTATGCATCTATTAGGAGTAAGAAATAAGTCTGAAAGAAAACAAGGATGAGACAATTCTGGAATTTTAATTTTAACTGCTCCCTTTTGTAAATAAAACAGTGCTGTGGATGAAGAAGGAACCTATCAAAGAATTTATCTTATGAAGGTACCATTTCTTTTATTGAAATAATGAAGGGTACGTTTGTACTCTAGAGATCATACCGCTCTCTCTATCCAATGAGCCTTAGTTATCAATCTAAATTTCTAAAATAGGAAAAGACAGAAAAACAGAGAAGAATGTATTTTTGCCTATTGATTTCATTGTGAATCGACCCATAACACGATCCATCAATAGGGACCATAACAAATTCCTAAATATGCTAAATATATAAACATTACAATTACATAAAATATCTTACTGAATTATGTCCATTTTAATATCTTGGTCTCCATAATGTTGTTATGGGTTGTGTACCGCTTTGGTGCCTATATATTCTATTCTCTTTTTACTTCAAATAAAAAAAACAAATCAATCAGACATTTAAGGATTAACAGAGAGGGAGAGAGAGAGGGAAAATAAAAGAAGATACTAGACAAGCAAAAGACTATGTAAGGGTAACCCTACCCCCGAGGGAGAATAAGGTCAACCTTCCAATTATGTATTCTGCAATATCTGCCTTGTTAGTTATAATTAGTGCCAATATAAAAGCTATTAACTCCCAGAAATGGTAGATAACAGAATAATGACTTGTAAAGTATTTGGTTACAATTCCATTCCTTATTCATCTCTCTGTCCGTAGTTCTTTTCTATCTAGCCTACCACTCTTCTCACTTTGATCTCTCATTTTTTCTGGTATACCTCTATTCTTCTATTTCCTCAGGCTATATTCCTCCTATTTCTGCAGTATCCTTGGACAAGTTGGTCTCAAACCCTATTTTTTCCTAGTCGCTTATTAAAACAATGATCTTGCAATAGAACTACAATGTACAACATGCACTAGACAGCCAGGGATAAAGAGATGCGAGATAGAGAGCATGAACAAAAAACTTAAATGTCGGACAGATCAGTTGTAACTGACTAAGTGATCACAACTATAGCTCAGAATTCAGATATACACCTTAAGCCCCTCGTAGAGAGCACGTGAACGGCAA